GCAGGCGTCGTTAAAGGCGCGCGTGAAGCTGCTGTGGAAAGCAGGGATGGAGGTAGTGCAGGTGAGAGGTGCAGTTTGAGGTGAATATGAGCACAGGTCAGAGGGAGGTCGAGGGGGAGTGTGGGGTGCGGGAGGCGGTTGTAGCAGCTTCTAGAAGACAGAAGCCCATTGCTGGCGTCTCTAAAGGCACGCGTGAAGCAGCTGTGGAAAGCAAGGATAGAGGTAGTGCAGGTGAAGGGTGCGGTTAGAGGTGAATATGAACACAAGTGAGAGGGAGGTCAAAGGGGAGTGTGGGGTGCGAGAGGCAGCTGTAGCAGCTGCTGGAAGACAGAAGCCCGTTGCTGGCATCGCTAAAGGCGCGCGTGAAGCTGTTGTGGAGAGCAGGGATAGAGGATGTGCAGGTGAGAGGTGCAGTTTGAGGTGAATATGAGCACAGGTCAGAGGGAGGTCGAGGGGGAGTGTGGGGTGCGAGAGGCGGCTGTAGCAGCTGCTAGAAGACAGAAGCCCATTGCTGGCGTCTCTAAAGGCACGCGTGAAGCTGCTGTGGAAAGCAGGGATAGAGGCAGTGCAGGTGAGAGGTGCGGTTTGAGGTGAATATGAGCACAGGTCAGAGGGAGGTCGAGGGGGGGTGTGGGGTGCAAGAGGCGGCTGTAGCAGCAGCTGGAAGACAGAAGCCCGTTGCAGGCGTCGTTAAAGGTGCGCGTGAAGCTGCTGTGGAAAGCAGGGATGGAGGTAGTGCAGGTGAGAGGTGCGGTTAGAGGTGAATATGAGCACAAGTAAGAGGGAGGTCGAGGGGGAGTGTGGGGTGCGAGAGGCGGCTGTAGCAGCTACTAGAAGAAAGAAGCCCGTTGCTGGCGTCTCTAAAGGCACGCGTGAAGCTGCTGTGGAAAGCAGGGATAGAGGCAGTGCAGGTGAGAGGTGCGGTTTGAGGTGAATATGAGCACAGGTCAGAGGGAGGTCGAGAGGGGGTGTGGGGTGCGAGAGGCGGCTTTAGCAGCAGCTTGAAGACAGAAGCCCGTTGCAGGCATCGCTAAAGGCGCGCGTGAAGCTGCTGTGGAAAGCAGGGATGGAGGTAGTGCAGGTGAGAGGTGCGGTTAGACGTGAATATGAGCACAAGTAAGAGGGAGGTCGAGGGGGAGTGTGGGGTGCGAGAGGCGGCTATAGCAGCTTCTAGAAGACACAAGCCCATTGCTGGCGTCTCTAAAGGCACGCGTGAAGCTGCTGTGGAAAGCAGGGATAGAGGCAGTGCAAGTGAGAGGTGCGGTTTGAGGTGAATATGAGCACAGGTCAAAGGGACGTCGAGGGGGAGTGTGGGGTGCGAGAGGCGGCTGTAGCAGCTGCTGGAAGATAGAAGCTCGTTGCTGGCGTCTCTTAAGGCGCGCGTGAAGGTGCTGTGGAAAGCAGGGATTGAGGAAGTGCAGTAGAGAGGTGCGGTTAGAGGTGAATATGATTATAGGTAAGAGGGAGGTCGAGGGGGAGTGTGGGGTGCGGGAGGCGGCAGTAGCAGCTGCAGGAAGACACAAGCCCGTTGCTGGCGTCTCTTAAGGCGCGTGTGAAGCTGCATTGGAAAGCAGGGATAGAGGACGTGCAGGTGAGAGGTGCGGTGTGAGGTGAATATGAGCACAGGTCAGAGGGAGGTCGAGGGGGAGTGTGGGGTGCGAGAGGCGGCTGTAGCAGCTGCTAGAAGACAGAAGCCCGTTGCTGGCGTCTCTAAAGGCACGTGTGAAGCTCTGTGGAAAGCAGGGATAGAGGCAGTGCAGGTGAGAGGTGCGATTTGAGGTGAATATGAGCACAGGTCAGAGGGAGGTCGAGGGGGAGTGTGGGGTGCGAGAGGCGCCTGTAGCAGCTCCTTGAAGACAGAAGCTCGTTGCTGGCGTCTCTAAAGGCGCGTGTGAAGCTGCTGTGCAAAGCAGGGATAGAGGAAGTGTAGGTGAGAGGTGCGGTTTGAGGTGAATATGAGCACAGGTCAGAGGGAGGTCGAGAGAGGGTGTGGGGTGCGAGAGGCGGCTGTAGCAGCTGCTAGAAGACAGAAGCCCGTTGCTGGCGTCTCTAAAGGCACGTGTGAAGCTCTGTGGAAAGCAGGGATAGAGGCAGTGCAGGTGAGAGGTGCGATTTGAGGTGAATATGAGCACAGGTCAGAGGGAGGTCGAGGGGGAGTGTGGGGTGCGAGAGGCGCCTGTAGCAGCTCCTCGAAGACAGAAGCTCGTTGCTGGCGTCTCTAAAGGCGCGTGTGAAGCTGCTGTGCAAAGCAGGGATAGAGGAAATGCAGGTGAGAGGTGCGGTTTGAGGTGAATATGAGCACAGGTCAGAGGGAGGTCGAGAGGGGGTGTGGGGTGCGAGAGGCGGCTGTAGCAGCAGCTGGAAGACAGAAGCCCGTTGCAGGCATCGCTAAAGGCGCGCGTGAAGCTGCTGTGGAAAGCAGGGATGGAGGTAGTGCAGGTGAGAGGTGCGGTTAGACGTGAATATGAGCACAAGTAAGAGGGAGGTCGAGGGGGAGTGTGGGGTGCGAGAGGCGGCTGTAGCAGCTTCTAGAAGACAGAAGCCCATTGCTGGTGTCTCTAAAGGCACGCGTGAAGCTGCTGTGGAAAGCAGGGATAGAGGTAGTGCAGGTGAGAGGTGCGGTTTGAGGTGAATATAAGCACAGGTCAAAGGGACGTCGAGGGGGAGTGTGGGGTGCGAGAGGCGGCTGTAGCAGCTGCTGGAAGACAGAAGCTCGTTGCTGGCGTCTCTAAAGGCACGCGTGAAGCTGCTGTGGAAAGCAAGGATAGAGGTAGTGAAGGTGAAGGGTGCGGTTAGAGGTGAATATGAACACAAGTGAGAGGGAGGTCGAGGGGGAGTGTGGGGTGCGAGAGGCAGCTGTAGCAGCTGGTGGAAGATAGAAGCCCGTTGCTGGTGTCGCTAAAGGTGCGCGTGAAGCTGTTGTTGAAAGCAGGGATAGAGGATGTTGAGGTGAGAGGTGCAGTTTGAGGTGAATATGAGCACAGGTCAGAGGGAGGTCAAGGGGGAGTGTGGGGTGCGAGAGGCGGCTGTAGCAGCTGCTGGAAAACAGAAGCTCGTTGCTCGCGTCTCTAAAGGCGCGCGTGAAGCTGCCGTGGAAAGTAGGGATAGAGGAAGTGCAGGTGAGAGGTGTGGTTTAAGGTGAATATGAGCACAAGTCAGAGGGAGGTCAAGGGGGGGTGTGGGGTGCGAGAGGCGGCTGTAGCAGCTGCCGGAAGACAGAAGCTCGTTGCTCATGTCTCTAAAGGCGCGTTTTAAGCTGCTGTGGAAAGCAAGGATAGAGGCAGTGCAGGTGAGAGGTGCGATTTGAGGTGAATATGAGCACAGGTCAGAGGGAGGTCGAGGGGGAGAGTGGGGTGCGAGAGGTGGCTGTAGCAGCTGCTGGAAGACAGAAGCCCGTTGGTGGCGTCTCTAAAGGCGCGCGTGTAACTGCTGTGGAAAGCAAGGATAGAGGCAGTGAAGGTGAGAGGTGCAGTTAGAGGTGAATATGAACACAGGTCAGAGGGAGGTCGAGGGGAAGTGTGGGGTGCGAGAGGCGGCAGTAGCAGCTGCTGGAAGACAAAAGCCCGTTGCTGGCGTCTCTTAAGGCGCGCGTGAAGGTGCTGTGGAAAGCAGAGATTGAGGAAGTGCAGGTGAGAGGTGCGGTGTGAGGTGAATATGATTATAGGTCAGAGGGAGGTCGAGGGGGAGTGTGGGGTGCGGGAGGCGGCAGTAGCAGCTGCAGGAAGACACAAGCCCGTTGCTGGCGTCTCTTAAGGCGCGTGTGAAGGTGCATTGGAAAGCAGGGATAGAGGAAGTGCAGGTGAGAGGTGCGGTGTGAGGTGAATATGAGCATAGGTCAGAGGGAGGTCGAGGGGGAGTGTGGGGTGCGAGAGGCGGCTGTAGCAGCTGCTAGAAGACAGAAGCCCGTTGCTGGCGTCTCTAAAGGCATGTGTGAAGCTCTGTGGAAAGCAGGGATAGAGGCAGTGCAGGTGAGAGGTGCGATTTGAGGTGAATATGAGCACAGGTCAGAGGGAGGTCGAGGGGGAGTGTGGGGTGCGAGAGGCGGCAGTAGCAGCTCCTCGAAGACAGAAGCTCGTTGCTGGCGTCTCTAAAGGCGCCTGTGAAGCTGCTGTGCAAAGCAGGGATAGAGGAAGTGCAGGTGAGAGGTGCGGTTTGAGGTGAATATGAGCACAGGTCAGAGGGAGGTCGAAAGGGGGTGTGGGGTGCGAGAGGCGGCTGTAGCAGCAGCTGGAAGACAGAAGCCCGTTGCAGGCGTCGTTAAAGGCGCACGTGAAGCTGCTGTGGAAAGCAGGGATGGAGGTAGTGCAGGTGAGAGGTGCGGTTAGACATGAATATGAGCACAAGTAAGAGGGAGGTCGAGGGGGAGTGTTGGGTGCGAGAGGCGGCTGTAGCAGCTGCTAGAAGACAGAAGCCCGTTGCTGGCGTCTCTAAAGGCGCGCGTGAAGCTGCTGTGGAAAGCAGGGATAGAGGTAGTGCAGGTAAGAGGTGCGGTTTGAGGTGAATATGAGCACAGGTCAGAGGGAGGTCGAGGGGGAGTGTGGGGTGCGAGAGGCGGCTGTTGTTGCTGCTGGAAGACAGAAGCTCGTTGCTGGCATCTCTAAAGGCATGCGTGAAGCTGCTGTGGAAAGCAGGGATAGAGGAAGTGCAGGTGAGAGGTGCGGTGTGAGGTGAATATGAGCATAGGTCAGAGGGAAGCCGAGGGGGAGTGTGGGGTGCGGGAGGCGGCTGTAGCAACTGCTGGAAGACAGAAGCCCGTTGGTGGCATCTCTAAAGGCGCGCGAGAAGCTGCTGTGGAAAGCAGGGATAGAGGTGATAAATGTGTAGTGTTTTGTGGTATAGTGTGCTCTAGCTGATTGTGGGCTATTGGGATTTGGGCAAAAGATGTGGGTTGGTTTGCTCGGTTTGATCTTGTTACCTTTCCATCCCATACAACCCCAAACCCACTACAACATCTTTGATGTTGCAGATGTGGCACTTGGGAGTGTTAGGGTTTGGTCCAGGGCGAGGGTTGGTGGTGTTTGACAATCTCATTCTCGAACTTTTCCAGATCGAACTGCTTCCCTTCTCGTTTTTACTAGGTGATTCATGGCTGCCTAGCCAAATTACCAGAATATCCCCTCACACTGATTTCGTCATAATCGGCGGCTCAGATCTTGGTTATGAACGTGCTTTACCATTCTGGAAAGTAGAGATTAAGAACTTTCCAACGCGTATGAGCTCATTTCTAGAAGTTACCTGAGCTGCACGCAATGTTCTGTTGAGATCGTCAAACTTAATATCTAATTAGTTCTCTCCAGATTTGCACGATTTCCATCAGTGGTATCAGAGCCATGGTTAGAGGACGTTCTTTCCTCCATTGGAAGAGATCTAGAGAGGCTTGAAGTGCTCCAGATCTAGGGTTTGACATGGCCCAAAAGTTGGATGGCCCTCCTAGGTTTACCGGCTTGGACTTTTTGCTATGGAGGTTCCAGTTCACACTATGGCTAGGTATTAAGGACCTAGAAAGTGTGTTGGATGGATCGGAGAAGCGACCACGAGCTGTTTCTGGGGAGGCGTCTACTGGAGCAACCAGCCAAGTGGGATCCGGGGCTGGGGGAGCGTCGTTGAGTGGGGGGAATGAAGGAGGAACCGCTGCAACTCGAACCGGAAGGTCGCAACCAAGTCGCGAGGAGTTGCTCAAAGCTCAAGAAGCATGGGATCGGAAGGATCGCCAGGCATTTCAGTACCTGTGTTGGGCTTTGGAGGGGCAACTTGAGCTTCTTAAGATGCTGATTGACCTGAAGGGGAAGGAAGGTGCAGCAGCTGCAGCTTGGAAAAGAGTGCAAGATAGGCACTTGCAGAAAGGGCTTCTAAGCGTGCTTACTTGGCGGAAGCTGTTTTACACCATGGAGCGGAACTATGGGGAGGGGGAGACCATGGTTCAGTATCTCCAGAGGGTGGATGAGAATGTGAGGGCTTTGGAGGAGCTAGATTACACGGTAGATGAGAAGGAGATCATCTATACTGCACTCCAAGGGTTGGATCAAGCGGCTAATGAGGCATTACTACAGTACCTTCACCTCGAGCAACAGAAATGGACCAAGGTGTGGATTTGGGAGGTTCTATTTTCTGATGAGGCTCGCAAGGTTGATGCTGGAAGAGGCCTAGAAGGAGGCATGGGGGCAGCAGATAAAGCTTCCTTCAGGAAAGGCTATCAACAGCAAGGAGGTGGGGGGAAGAAGAAAGAGTTGGACAAATGCCTTATGCCCGGATGCAACAAAAAACACTCTTGGAAGAGTTGCTGGAGTAGGCCTGAGGGATGGAAGCCTCACGGCTACTCTGGAGAGGCCCCACCAGTGACCAAACCTGATTGGGTGGAGAAAAGGATGAAGAAGGGGCTCTGGAATAAGAAGGGCAGCAAGGGAGCAACGGCCGCAGCTGCTAAGGATGAGAAGGGGAAGGGCCAAGACGACTCCTCTGATGATGGTTTCTCGTTTCTCATGCTAGGGCAGGATGCATCTCTCGCTGGTCGCGCATTGGCTGATCCCAACTTCCTGGTTCTAGACTCTGGAGCAACATCTGGGATGCTTCCTCGCCGTGATCTTTTCACCTCCTACCATCCTCTCCCACCAAACTCTAGGAGAGTGATTGTTGGGAGCGGAGATTCGCTGCAGGCAATTGGCATCGGCACGATCACCATTAAGGGGAAGGAGGGGGAGCTAGTGGGTGTGAAGGGGGTCCTTCACGTCCCTGGTTTGGCTGCAAACCTCCTTTCATGCTCGCAGCTGGCTAAACAGGGATACATCTGCACTTTCACTGAGGGAGGGTGCACTGTTAGAAAGGGTGAAGCTGTGGTGATGGAGGCAAAGCTGGACAAGGGTTTATACCTTGTTCCAGCTTGTGTGCCTAATTGTTACAAGGCACATATGGTTTTTTCTGAGGAAGCCGCTTGTAGCACTCGCTGGAGGCAGGTGGAAACGGTGTCACCTGAGTTGCTACACCTTCGCATGGGGCACGCGGGGAAGCAGCAACTACTGGAGTGTGTGAAGAAGGGGGAGCTGAAGGGGGTGGAGGTCAAGGAAGGAGCTGGGCAGCAGAGAAAATGTCCTGACTGCACATCTGGAAAGCTGCCTAGAACCTCATTCCCTATCTCCTCTGATCATGCCTCGACTCCCCTTGAGCTTGTACACACGGATGTGTGTGGACCGATGCAAACTCCTGACCGGGAAAGGGGCAGCAGGTACTTTGTCACCTTTTTTGATGACTTCAGTCGACTTAGCTGGGTCACCTTGGTGAAGACCAAGGATGAGGTGGCAAAGGTGTTTAAGCGGTGGATACGCTATGTGGAGAGGGAATCAGGGGCCAAGGTAAAGGTGTTAAGGTCAGATCGGGGTGGAGAGTACCTTGGGAAAGAACTTCAAATCTTCTTGGAAGAAAAGGGTATTTCCCACCAGCTCTCTGTACCTTACACGCCGCAGCAAAATGGGGCAGCGGAGCGGCTTAACAGGACTTTGACCGATTTGGCTCGGGCCATTCTTGCCCATGCCGAGCTTGATAACACTTGGTGGGGGGCAGCAGTGCAGTATGCCAACTGGGTGAAGAACAGGATGGGCAGCAAGGGGCTTGGAGGCAAGAGCCCATACTCCTTATGGACAGGGAAGGTGCCGAATGTTTCCATGGCACGAGTGTGGGGGTGCATGGCACAGTATAAGGTACCTGACCAGCAAAGGAGGAAGCTAGATCCTAAGGCACAGTGGGGGATCTTCCTTGGGGTTTCTGAGAGGAGCAAGGCTTGGGTGCTATGGAGTGTAGCTGACCAGCGTGTGATGGAGAGCCGTGATGTGATTTTCCATGAGGGGCTGAATTATAAGGGGTGGAAGGAGCGTGGTGCAAGCCATAGTGGGACTTCCAATCAAGACCCTCATACGGCCTCTATCTTTGAGGGGGCATGGGAGGACCCTGGAGATGAAGGGGAGGAGCAGCAGGAGGAGTCAGAACCAGCTGATTCTAACCATGAGGAGTCCCGAGAGACAGATTCTACCCCTCAGCCAGCCACGCAGGCCGATGCGCATGATGATCAGCCAAAGCAGCATGTGCCTTCAACTCCATCGAGAAGCAGTTGGCAGCAATTGTTGAACCAGCAGCTGTCCAAGACTCCAAGGACTCCAATGAAGAGGGTGACTTGGGAGGAGAAGCTGCAGAGGCTGGAAGAAGGAGAGGCAACACCTCTGCGACGCAGTGCTCGAATTTCCCAGCCACCTGAAAGGTTTACCCCGGGGCACATTGCACGCATGCATGATCATCTTGTGTCTGATTTGGATGATTGCATGCTTGTGGACATGCATGGGCATGAGTATGCTCTTGATGTGTGTCTAATGGGTCAGGTACATGAGCCTAGGTCAGTCCACGAGGCGCTGAACCGTCCCGAATGGGTTGAGTCCATGCATGAGGAGCTTGAGTCTCACAAGGTAAATGGATCATTTGAGCTGGTTGATCCAGCAGTGGTACCACCTGGTTTGGAGGTCCTCAGGTGTCAATGGGTTTGGAAATACAAACATAACCCTGATGGTACCATTGAGAGGCCTAAGTCCAGATTGGTGGTGATGGGAAACATGCAGAAATTGGGAGTACACTATGAAGAAGTGTACTCTCCAGTTGGGAAGCATGCGACCTTGAGAGGTATGCTTGGAATTTCGGCTGCTTTGAAGCTTGACATCCATTATATGGACGTCAAGACAGCCTTCCTCCATAGGGATTTGGAAGAAGAGCTTTACATGCGGCAGCCCCCTGGTTTTGATGATGGGTCTAACCGAGTGTGTCGCCTCAAAAGGTCCATTTATGGGCTGAAGCAAGCCCCACGACAGTGGTACCTAAAATTTGATGAGGCTCTCATGGATTTTGGGTTTGAGAGATCTGAGTGTGACCCTGCCTTGTACCACTTTGTGAGAGATGAGGAGCGGATCTCCTTATTCCTCTATGTGGATGACCTTTTGCTCCTATGCTCTAGCAAGGCTTTGCTAGATCGAGTGAAAAACTTATTGTCCTCGCGTTTTCGCATGAAGGACTTGGGGGAGGTGAAGTACTACTTGGGAATGCAAATTGAGCGTGATGAGAGTGGTATCTTGATTCATCAAGAGAGGTACATTCTTAACATGCTTCAGTCCTTTGGTCTCTCAGAGGCCAACCCCGTGCGTACTCCTCTCCCAACAGGCTTTGATGTGCATGCCTATGAGGATGAACCCTTGCTGCGAGATGAGCTGGTCAAGCTCTACCAAAGCATTGTGGGATCCCTCATGTATGCTTGTACTACCACACAGCCACAGATTGCCTTTGCAGTCTCACAGCTATCTAAGGTCGCCTCTTGTCCTAAAATGTTTCACTTGCAGGCCGCTAAGAGAGTGCTGAGGTATCTGAAAGGTGGTATCAAGTCAGGTATCTTCTTCCAAACACAGCCCCAGTCTCAGGTCCAGCTAGTTGGCTTCAAAGATGCTGACTATGCTGGAGATTCCACAAGTCACAGGAGCCACAGTGGGTATGTGTTCTGTCTGAATGGGGCAGCTATCTCTTGGCAGAGCAAGAGGCAGCCCGTGGTAGCACTCTCTACCACTGAGAGTGAGTATATAAGTCTGTGTCAGTGCATTCAGGAGGGTGTCTGGCTGAGGCGTTTGTTTGGGGAGTTTGGCCATGATCATGCTGGTGGTGTGCCTGTGTTTGTGGATAATCAGTCTGCCATTGCCCTTGCACAGAATGCATGCTTGCATGGCCGCACCAAACACATGCAGGTCCGGTGGCATTTCATTCGGGAGATGGTAGCTGCGGGTGAGGTGATTTTGCAGTGGTGCCCCACCAACCGTCAGGCTGCTGATATTCTTACCAAGTCTCTTCCATTTGAGCATCATGGTGTGTGCATGACCTTGCACGGGATGCAGCCCCATGATGACAGAGTTCCCGCAGCAGATGCCGGCGTCCTGGTGCTCCTCTCCTTGGCGGACTCCATGCTCTGGGTGGCCCCAACCCATGGGCAAGGGGGAGTGGTGTGAAGTCTTTTGCCCTATGGTATTGAGCCACACCCAGCACGAGCAAGGGGGAGTGATAAATGTGTAGTGTTCTGTGGTGTAGTGTGCTCTAGCTGATTGTGGGCTATTGGGATTTGGGCAAAAGATGTGGGTTGGTTGGCTCGGCTTGATCTCGTTACCTTTCCAACCCATACAACCCCAAACCCACTACAACATCTTTGATGTTGCAGATGTGGCACTTGGGAGTGTTAGGGTTTGGTCCAGGGCGAGGGTTGGTGGTGTTTGACAATCTCATTCTCGAACTTTTCCAAATCGAACTGCTTCCCTTCTCGTTTTTACTAGGTGATTCATGGCTGCCTAGCCAAATTACCAGAATATCCCCTCACACTGATTTCGTCATAATCGGCGGCTCAGATCTTGGTTATGAACGTGCTTTACCATTCTGGAAAGTAGAGATTAAGACCTTTCCAACGCGTATGAGCTCATTTATAGAAGTTACCTGAGCTGCACGCAATGTTCTGTTGAGATCGTCAAACTTAATCTCTAATTAGTTCTCTCCAGATTTGTACGATTTCCATCAAGAGGTAGTGCAGGTGAGAGGTGCGGTTTGAGGTGAATATAAGCACAGGTCAGAGGGAGGTCGAGGGGGAGTGTGGGGTGCGAGAGGCGGCTGTAGCAGCTGCGGGAAGACAGAAGCCCGTTGCTGGCGTCTTTAATGGCGTGCGTGTAGCTGTTGTGGAAAGCAGGGAAAGAGGAAGTGCAGGTGAGAGGTGCGGTTTGAGGTGAATATGAGCACAGGTCAGAGGGAGGTCGAGGGGGAGTGTGGGGTGCGAGAGGTCGCTGTTGTTGCTGCTGGAAGACAGAAGCTCGTTGCTGGCATCTCTAAAGGCACGCGTGAAGCTGCTGTGGAAAGCAGGGATAGAGGTAGTGCAGGTGAGAGGTGCGGTTAGAGGTGAATATGAGCACAAGTAAGAGGGAGGTCGAGGGGGAGTGTGGGGTGCGAGAGGCGGCTGTAGCAGCTGCTAGAAGAAAGAAGCCCGTTACTGGCGTCTCTAAAGGCACGCGTGAAGCTGCTGTGGAAAGCAGGGATAGAGGCAGTGCAGGTGAGAGGTGCGGTTTGAGGTGAATATGAGCACAGGTCAGAGGGAGGTCGAGGGGGAGAGTGGGGTGTGAGAGGCGGCTGTAGACGCTGCTGGAAGACAGAAGCCAGTTGGTGGCGTCTCTAAAGGTGCGCGTGTAGCTGCTGTGGAAAGCAGGGATAGAGGCAGTTAAGGTGAGAGGTGCAGTTAGAGGTGAATATGAACACAGGTCAGAGGGAGGTCGCGGGGGAGTGTGGGGTGCGAGAGGCGGCAGTAGCAGCTGCTGGAAGACAGAAGCCCGTTGGTGGCGTCTCTTAAGGCGCGCGTAAAGCTGCTGTGGAAAGCAGGGATAGAGGAAGTGCAGGAGAGAGGTGCGGTGTGAGGTGAATATGAGCATAGGTCAGAGGGAGGTCGAGGGGGAGTGTGGGGTGCGACAGGCGGCTGTAGCAGCTGCTGGAAGACAGAAGCCCATTGCTAGCTTCTCTAAATGCGCACGTGAAGCTGCAGTGGAAAGCGGGGATAGAGGGAGTACAGGTGAGAGGTGTGGTTTGAGGTGAATATGAGCACAGGTCAGAGGGAGGTCGAGGGGGAGTGTGGGGTACGAGAGGCGGCTGTAGCAGCTGCTCGAAGACAGAAGCTCATTGCTGGCATCCCTAAAGGCGCGTGTGAAGCTACTGTGGAAAGCAGGGATAGAGGCAGTGAAGGTGAGAGGTGCAGTTAGAGGTGCATATGAACACAGGTCAGAGGGAGGTCGAGGGGGAGTGTGGGGTGCGAGAGGCGGCTGTAGCAGCAGCTGGTAGAAAGAAGCCCGTTGAAGGCGTCTCTAGAGGCGCGCGTGAAGCTGCTGTGGAGAGCAGGGATAGAGGTAGTGCCGGTGAGAGGTGCGGTTTGAGGCGAATATTAGCATAGGTGAGAGGGAGGTCGAGGGGGAGTGGGGTGCGAGAGGCGGCAGTAGCAGCTGCTGGAAGAGAGAAGCTCGTTGCTAGAGTCTCTAAAGGCGCGCGTGAAGCTGCTGTGGAAAGCAGGGATAGAGGCAATGCAGGTGAGAGGTTCGGTTTGAGGTGAATGTGAGCACAGGTCAGAGGGAGGTCGAGGGGGAGTGTGGGGTGCAAGAGGCGGCAGTAGCAGCTGCTGGATGACCGAAGCCCGTTGCTGGCGTTTCTAAAGGCGCGCGTGAAGCTGCTGTGGAAAGCAGGGATAGAGGCAGTGAAGGTGAGAGGTACAGTTAGAGGTGAATATGAACACAGATTAGAGGGAGGTCGAGGGGGAGTGTGGGGTGCGAGAGGCGGCTGTAGCAGCAGCTGGAAGAAAGAAGCCCGTTGAAGGCGTCTCTAAAGGCGCGCGTGAAGCTGCTGTGGACACAAGGATAGAGGTAGTGCAGGTGAGAGGTGCAGTTTAAGGTGAATATGAGCATAGGTCAGAGGGAGGTCGAGCGGGAGTGTGGGGTGCGAGAGGCGGCTCTAGCAGCTGCTGGAAGACAGAAGCTCATTGCTAGAGTCTCTAAAGGTGCGCGTGAAGCTGCTGTGGAAAGCACGGATAGAGGCAGTGCAGGTGAGAGGTGCGGTTTGAGGTGAATATGAGCACAGGTCAGAGGGAGGTTGGGGGGGGCTGTGGGGTGCGAGAGGCGGCTGTAGTAGCTGCTAGAAGACGGAAGCCCGTTGCTGGCGTTTCTAAAGGCGCGCGTGAAGCTGCTGTGAAAAGCAGGAATAGAGGAAGTGCAGGTGAGAGGTGCGGTTTGAGGTGAATATGAGCACAGGTCAGAGGGAGGTCGAGGGGGAGTGTGGGGTGCGAGAGGTGGCTGTAGCAGCTGCTGGAATGCAGAAGCTCATTGCTGGCATCTCTAAAGGCGCGCGTGAAGGTGCTGTGGAAAGCAGGGATAGAGGCAGTGAAGGTGAGAGGTGCAGTTAGAGGTGAATATGAACACAGGTCAGAGGGAGGTCGCGGGGGAGTGTGGGGTGCGAATGGCGGCTGTAGCAGCTGCTAGAAGACAGAAGCCCATTGCTGGCGTCTCTTAAGGCGCGCGTGAAGCTGCTGTGGAAAGCAAGGATAGAGGATGTGCAGGTGAGAGGTGCGGTGTGAGGTGAATATGAGCATAGGTCAGAGGGAGGTCGAGGGGGAGTGTGGGGTGCGATAGGCGGTTGTACCAGCTATTGGAAGACAGAAGCCCATTGCTGGCTTCTCTAAAGGCACACGTGAAGCTGCTGTGGAAAGCGGGGATAGAGGAAGTGCATGTAAGAGGTGCGGTTTGAGGTGAATATGAGCACAGGTCAGAGGGTGGTCGAGGGGGAGTGTGGGTTGCGAGAGGCGGCTGTAGCTGCTGCTGGAAGACGGAAGCCTGTTGGTGGCATCGCTAAAGGCGCACGTGAAGCTGCTGTGGAAAGCAGGGATAGAGGCAGTGCAGGTAAGAGGTGCGGTTTGAGGTGAATATGAGCACATGTCAAAGGGAGGTCGAGGGGGAGTGTGGGGTGCGAGAGGTGGCTGTAGCAGCTGCTGGAAGACAGAAGCACGTTGCTGGTGTCTCTAAAGGCGCACGGAAAGCACTTATGGAGAGCTGGGAAGGCCGGCAGGGCAGGTAACGGGATTGGTGCGGGTAAAATGAGAAACGAGATGGAGAATTATTGGTGACATCCTTTCCCTCTGGCTTCCCACCACTCCCTACACTCACCCACGCCCCTGACTCAGCCGTTTCAAGACCTGCTATTGGCGCATGAAATCACCCTGGAAGTCCCGAAAGGGAGGAGGAAAGGGGCTCTCTGAGTGTTCGCACTGCTACTGGGAGCACTGGAGGTGAATTCCTTGCCCTCTTTCTTCCCCCTCCTACCTTGCCCCCCTCCCCCCCCCCCTTCTTTACCAGCCGCTTCAAGCCCTACTACTGGCGCTTAAAATCACGCTAGATAACATGAAGGGCGAGAGGAAAGGGGCGCTGCAGCTGTTCGCAGCGCTGCGGGGAGCACCGAAGGTGACATCACGTCCCTCTTTCTTTCCCCTCCTTGCCTTTACCCCTTCCCCACTTCCGTTACTAGCCGTTTCAAGCCCTGCTACTGGCGCTTGAAATCACGCTAGAAGACCTAAAAGGGGAGAAGAAGGGGCTTCTTCAACTGTTCGCCTTGCTGCCGGGAGCACTGGAGGTGACTTCCCTTCGCTCTTTCTCCCCCCTTCCCATCTTTACCCCTCCCCCCCTGTCCTGTTACCAGCCGTTTCAAGACGTGCTACTGGCATACGAAATCACCCTAGAATACCTAAAAGGGGAGGAGTAAGGGGCTTTGCAGCTATTCACGCTGTTGCTGGGAGCACCAGAGGTGACCCTCTCTTTCTCCCCACCCACCCTACACTCCCTTCCCTCCCTTCCCTCCCTTCCCTCCCTTTCCCTTACCCAGCCGTTTCAAGACCTAGTGCTGGCACATGAGATAACTCTAGAGGACCTGAAAGGGGAGAAGAAGCGGGCTCTTCAGCTGTTCGCGTTGCTGCTGGGAGCACCGGAGGTAACATCGTTACGAAAGGATGAGTTGGCAGAAGTGATTATAAGGGCGGATGCATGGGAGAGAGTGAGGGGGGATGGGAGGGGGACGACAGGAGGGAAAAGAAGGGTTGAGAGGGGGGGGAGAGAGGGGGGGAAGAGATGCAAGGATAGAGGTGGGAAGAAAGAGACCAGAGCAGTAGCTGGTGTGGAGATGGGAAGCGAAAGAGGAGGAGAAAGAGGGGCTACTACAATGGCAGCAACATGATCATCCGTGGGTGAAGCAGCCACAACCACAGCAGCAGCAGCAGCAACAACAGCTGCAGCCACAGCAGAGGCGAAAGGCATGGGCAAGGCCATGTTCAAGGGTGCTGATGGGAAGATGGTGGGCCTCAAGAACGTGCTTTTGTTGCCCATTGTAGCAGCCAACCTGATTTCCGTTCGGCGTTTGCAAAAGGCCGGCATGGACACATCTTCCAAGGGATCCAAAACCTATACCGCGAGGCTTGGTGAGCGGAAGCTTTGGGACCTTCATGAGGACAGGGACATCTACAATGAGATGTGGCAAATCCCAGTGGTCCCCATGCCTAAGGAGAGGCAAGTGGCAGCAAGCGTCAGCACGAAGAGAGAAGCGGTTGGTGTCGGTGATCACGGAAAACAAAGTGACACTAAGAGTGACTCGAAGGAGTGCAATCTTGGAGAGACTAGCAAGGCGTGTGAACCCAAAGAGAGTGGTGCAGTAGCCAAAGAAGGTGGAAAAGAGGAAGGGAAGGCTAAGATCAGCAAAGCAGCAGCGGCAAAGGAGAAAGGAGAGCTCTTGTGGGGCACAATTGCGAGTGCCGCTTTCTCCAACCCGACTTCCGCTACGGGAGAGTGTGATTGGCTGACCTTGCATCGGCGAATGGGGCATGTGGCATTGCCCATTTTGCAGCAGATAGTTAAGCAAGAGATGGTCAGTGGGATACGTGTCAAGGGGGAGCCCAATGAGGTGCTTGGCTGTCCAACATGCATGCAAGCCAAGTTCACCCGCTACCCGTTCCATAGCTCGGAGACAACGGCGAAGGCAACACTTGATGAGGTGGTGATGGATGTGGTGGGCCCCTTGAAGCTTGGAGCTTCTGGAGCTGAGTACTTCCTCACCATTGTGGACGTCTACACTCGCATGACCTGGGTGTATGTGCTGCCCAAGAAGAGTGACGTAGCTGAAACGGTGAAGACCGATTGGTTGCCGATGGTGGAGCGGCAACAAGACCGACTTGTGAAGGCGATTCGCACTGATCGTGGGGGAGAGTTCTTGAGCAAGTATTTCTCAACTTGGCTGAAGAAGCAGGGCATAAGGCACTCTCTCACCATACCCTACTCTCCTGCAATGAACGGCATCGCCGAGCGTGCGAATCGGACACTCACGGAGACGGCTCGGGGACTTCTCATTGAAGCCGGTCTACCCAATTAATTTTGGCCGGATGTGGTGCGGCATGCTTGTGTGGCCAAGAACAGAGCCTCGATTCACGTGGGAGAAGACAAATGGGTGCCCTATGTGGAGTGGATTGGAAGGAAGCCAAAGGTGGATATGCTTCGGGTGTTCGGGTGCATGTGCATGGCACTTGTGCCTAAGAAACTTCGGCACAACAAGCTTGATGCCAAGGCAACATGGGTCGTGCACCTGGGCATGGCTCAAAACAGCAAGGGATGGCTTCTTTGGGACCCATTTACCAAGAAGTTCCTGGTGAGCAGAGATTGCAAGTTCATGGAGAACTTACCGTACAAGGAGTGGAAGGCGGAGAATCAAGCGAAGATTGGTGTGCGGCTTGGAGAGGTGAAGAGTACCGGCTTGGAGCATGTGGAGCTGCCCTTGGAGCTGAGTAGCAGCAGCACTATCACAAGGCAATCTCCTCAAATGAATGGGGGAGAAGAAGAAGGAGGTGCAGCAAGGTGATGAGCGTGCACCGTCACTTCCGCCTCGTGCTACAAGTGCTCGAGGGAACCGACCAGATTTGCAGCAACGCCATGAGAGCATCCAAGTCCCTACAGCATAGGAGGAAGGAAGGGGGAGAAGGAGGACTCAGCCCCCCAAAAGGTTGAGCTATGAACGGCTTGGAGGATCAGCCAACTCAACCTTGACCGGTGGAGATACCGGGGGATCCTACAAATCCCAAGGAGGCTTGGGAGGGCCCCAATGGGAAGGAGTGAAAGAAGGCCTCAGATGAAGAAATGGGGAGCATCATCGAGAACTTTATGTTTGACTTGGTGAACCTACCTCCGGGGCGTAAGGCGATTTCTTCCAAGTTGCTCTTCAAGCGCAAGACCGACGCCGACGGCAACATCGAGCGCTACAAGAGCAGATTGTAGCCAAGGGGTATCAGCAGCAAGAGAAAAAGGACTACAATGAAGTGTATGCCCCTGTGGTGAAGGGTACAACCCTTCAAACCCTCTTCGCCGTGGCGGCCATCAAGGGATGGGTGGTGAAGCAAATGGATATTGTAACGACCTTCCTCAACGGTGTTTTGGAGGAAGAGACCTACATGGAGCAGCCAGAGGGGTACAATGATGGGAGTGGCAGAGTGTGGAAGCTGAAGAAAGCACTCCATGGCCTCAAGCAAGCCCCTAGGCAATGGTACATCAAGCTGCGGGAAGTCTTGGAGGCGATCGGCTTCACTACTTCAACGGCCGATGAATCGTTGTTCATGCTTGGCGAGGGGGAGCAGAGGAGCTTCATGATGGTTAATGTGGATGACATCCTCATATTCTCACCCTCTTCTGACCTTGTCAAGGAGGTGATGCTGAAGCTTCAAGACAATTTCAAGTGCAAGACCCTTGGTGACGTCAACTACAACCTTGGGTTTCACATTGAGCGAGATGTAGAGAAGCGGTGGATGCGAGTGCATCAAAAGAAGTACTTGGAGGCCTTGGCTGCAAACTTTGGGAAGAGTGAAGGTCATGTGGCTACTCCTCTACCCTCGGGGTTCAAGTGTGTGAAAGGACCAGCTGAGGAAAGTGTTGGTGAAGAGGAGAGGCGCCGTTTTCATTCCTTAGTGGGCAGCCTTGTGAAAGTAAGACCCCGTTACACCACTTGGCCTTTTTTCTACTTCCTTCCTATTTTCATTTCCCTTTTTATCTCATCTCATTTGGTTTCCTATTCTCCATTTTCCATTAACCTATGGTTTATCCTGCTATTATAGTTATATCACCGACCAGGCTTGGGATGTACTGGGCGCTATATTTAGCGTAATCCTGCCGTAATCCCTTAAAGCCAATTGCCTCGCGTGGCTATACGCAGGGTGATTCTATCTTCTAGAAGGGTCTATTCCCTTAGGATAAGATAAACCTGGTTACATGATGTACTCTGGAAGTATAAAAGCGCCTTGTACTGATCGATAGTGCAATCGGTCCTCGACACATTCGATCCTGTGACACTTGGTAATCAGAGCTTTTCTCACTCGGCCGCGCTCAACAAAGCAGCAGCAGCGGGAAAACCTGCCTCGAAAAACCGCCGGGGGCGACCAATTTGACGCCGATTCTGGTAAGCACCAGCTCCGCGATTTTTGAATCACCCCCTCCGTGCGTGTTTTGAACAGGATGGCAACCTTCGACAACGCCGAGGTTACCCAACAGCTCTTTGCACGCATCGCAGCCCTTCAGCAGGAAATGCGAGCGGATCGCGAAGCGTGGCGAAACCAGTTCGAGCGAGTAACTCGACTCGCCGGAGCGCAGCACGAGACGACAACGGCGACGACGCAGCAGTCGCACCAGTTTCTCGAGGCTCCGAAACCGCGCCCACCTGAGCCGTTCGATCCGAGCGATCGAAACTCCGACGCCCGCAGATGGATCGCCGGGATGGAGATCTACTTCGCAGCCGTCGGATGGAGCTCGCCAGTCTGGGACGGTCAACGTGTACGACTCGCGGCGACACTGATGCGAGGGCCGGCACTCGAGTGGATTGGCGGCAACAGTACCTTCATCCACGGTGAAGCCACGTGGCAGCAGTTCCGCGCTGACCTGCTGAAACGCTTCGAGCCGATAAATTCCAGTTTCCTTGCCCGGGAAAAAATTCATCGACACCGACAGTTCGGGAGTGTAGCGCAGTACACGCAACAGATGGAGGAATTTTATAACCGCATTCCCGACCTGACCAAGGGGAAAAAGTACAATCGTACCTCGCCGGGCTGAAGACCGAAGTCAAACGCCAGGTAGCAGCATCAAACTACGCGAGCTACAGTAACGTCGTTTCGGCAGCGGAGCGCTTCGACATGGTCAACGCTAGAACACGACGGACGCACGTCGGCAGTACGCGACAGGGCGACCGCTCGGCTCACCCCACGTTCGCCGACCCGATGGAAGTCGATAGATTCGAGGGGCGGCCACGTCCGAAAAACACCAATTACACGTGTGATTTTTGCAGGGTGCCGGGTCATCGAATCTTCGACTGTAGCAAAATGAAAGCCGCACGCGCAGAGTATCAGGCACGCAACAGTGGCGGAATTCCTTCAGCCAATCAGAAGCCAAAAAACGGGAGTCGCCAGTGATTGCGGATCTAGCTGGCGAAAATAAAAAGATCCGAAACAGCCGCGGGATTCCGGGAAAATCAACTTCGACGAAGCTGATTCGACGCGAGAAGGAGGAAATGATGGGGGATAATCTCCACCCTACGACCAGTCTTCGCCAGGGAAAATCGCCGAGGAAAAATACGACTCCGCGAAAAAGGACTCTACCGAGACGGGGAAACTCCTTGAAGACCCAATAAGTTATAAGAATTCGTTAAAGTTATCTTATAAAGATGCTTTAATGAAAACTTATGATTTTCGAGGGGCTAGAGCCTTGGAGAAAATTCGGGAAGGACTCCAAAAAAAGCAGACAGCTGTGGAGATCATACCGGTACCGGACAACTTGGGGAAAAAATTAAGGAGTGTGGAAAGAAGCCGACCTTTCCACGGAGTCAACGTCCTCTCCCGATACCAGCCCACAACGATTACCCGATCCCCAGGGAAGACGTCAGTGGAGCTAAAGCAGCTCAAGAGGAAGCTGGGGATCTATAAGAAGCTGCACAAACCCCAAAATCCTCCTCCGGATGCATCCAATTCTTCGGCATCAGTGACGCGCACAGTCGTCAAGGAAACTCTGGGCCCTGGAGAAGAGCCGTTCTCCAAGCAGCCTCGGCCAGCTGCCAGCTCAGGAGTAGATAACAAAACAAAGGTGTGTACGGAATATTGGGATGTACCCTATGACCCAATCAATGAAACTATCTTTGGGTACTCCGAGCAACGACTGCCCCTCGTGCTCGAGGTCATCTGCAAAGGACGACGCCTCCAAGCACTTGTGGACAGCGGAGCATCACACACCGTCTGCGACAAGGTAGTGATCGACCGACTTCGGGAAGAGTACAAGCCTTCAGGATTCTCTGCAACGATGGTGGACGGCAGCAAGTTACCAGTACACGGCGAAGCAGTGCTACACCTACAAATTGGACCACTGCGCTGGAGACCTGCACTTCCCATCACCAACATCAAAGGGCTTGACTTGATCTTCAGGCGAGACTTCCTAAAAAGATTCAACCCCGAGATCAACTGGGTGAACCGCACCGCAAGCATTTACAACAATGGACGGAGAGTACAACTACCCAACTGGGACGATACAGGCGATATCCCAGTGGAGACACTCGCACGATTCGAGAAGGACGTGAAGCGAACCGACACAGGGTTCCTAGCAATAGCAACAGAGGCGGAGAACGACAGGGAGAGAACCTCAAAACCTCCAGGAAAGATCAAGGAATTATTGAAGGAGTTCCAAGATATTCTTCCGGACGATCTTCCGAATGAGCTACCGCCGTACCGAACGCATCAACACGAGATCGTGGAGGAACCGGGTTCGAAGCCGACCTTCCGAGTGCCATATCGGCTCAGCCCTACGGAGCTGACCGACATGAAAAACAAATCGAGTATCTCCTAGCCAAAGGACTCATCCGACCATCCACTTCACCGTATGGTGCCCCAGTACTCTTCACACCGAAACCGGACGGAAGCATGCGCATGTGCATCGACTACCGAGCTCTTAACAAGCAGACCATCAAGAATACATATCCGATACCGCGAATTGATGACCTGCTTGACCAGCTTCGGGGAGCTACGGTATTTTCCAAACTGGATCTGCGGTCTGGATACTGGCAGATACGGATGGCGGACAACTCTATCTACAAAACTGCTTTCCGAACTCGGTACGGATCGTACGAGTATTTGGTCATGCCGTTCGGACTCACCAACGCACCAGCGACGTTCCAAGCAGAAATGAACCACATCCTACGCCCACTCTTGGACGAATGCGTGGTGGTGTACCTGGACGACATCTTCATCTACTCGCGCGACATGAAGCAGCACGTCGAACACCTGCGACGCGTCTTCGAAATTCTTCGACGAGAACGATTCTACGTCAAACTGTCCAAGAGCGAATTCACCATTGAGAAGGTCCAGTTCCTAGGACACATGGTGAGCGCTCAAGGAGTTCATGTCGACCCCAAGAAAATCAAAGCCGTACGCACGTGGAAGACACCCGAGAACGTGAAGGAGTTGCAGCAGTTCCTAGGCTTCGCTAATTACTATAACAGGTTCGTGCCACAGTATGCGAAAATCGCAGCACCACTCACGGATCTGCTGAAGAAGAACACGCCCTACAAATGGGAGCCGAAGCACCAGGAAGCCGTGGAGCAGCTGAAGCAAGCACTTACGTCCGCACCGGTACTCATTTTGCCAGATCCCGAACGCGACTACGTCATCGAAGCTGACGCCAGTGACCAAGCAGTGGGAGTAGTCTTGATGCAAGATCAAGGGAATGGACTGCAACCAATTGCTTACCTAAGTAAGAAACTACACGGGGCAGAACTCAACTACCCGATACACGACAAGGAGGCCCTGGCTATCATCATCGCCTTCAAAGCATGGAGATGTTATCTCGAAGGATGAAGAACGACCGTCTACACCGACCACTGCAGCCTGAAATATTTGAAGACACAACCCAACCTTTCCAGGCGGCAGGTCCGGTGGATCGACTTCCTCGAGACACACTTCCACTACGACATCGTGTACAAGCCCGGTCACAAGAACAAAGCAGACGCTCTCAGTCGGCCTGCACACGTTGCCCCTATTCAGATCGAAGGGATGAATCCACTACTCAAGGGACTCTTCACACACGGGTACACCATCGACCCTGAAATTCCCTTGGCAGAAAAGCGACATCTTCTACATTGGGACGGTGACATCGCGTACCGGAAAGGATCAACGAAAATCAGGGTACCCAATTACCCTCCTTTGCGCCAGTTACTACTCGAAGAATACCACGACGTCCTCTACGCCGGACACTTCGGTAGCAACAAAACGCTCACCGGTATCGCCAAACACTACTACTGGCCCCATTTAGCAGAAGATGTCCAGAAATTCGTCACCTCGTGTGATACATGTCAGCGGATGAAGAGTACCAAGCAGAAAAAGGCGGGACTACTACAGCCTCTTCCTGTCCCAGAACAACCATGGCAAGTGGTTAGCCTGGACTTCATCACCGGGTTACCACCTACCTCCAGCGGTCATGACGCTATCCTTGTCGTCATCGACAAATTCTCCAAAATGGGACACTTCATCCCGACACACACGACAGCACGCACCGAAGAAACAGCACAACTCTTCGTTCGATACATCATCTCACAGCATGGCATTCCAACCACACTCATCTCCGACCGAGACCCTAAGTTCACCAGCAAGTTCTGGAAGGAACTTATGTCTCTCCTCGGGACCAAACTCGCCATGTCATCTGCTTACCATCCGCAGACAGACGGACAGACCGAGCGCCTCAACCAAATTGTTGAGCAACTCCTCCGAGCAGCCTGCAAGGACGAGATCTCCAAATGGGACTTACACCTGCCCGTACTAGAGTTTGCTTACAACAATACTACACATGGCGCTACTGGACAGACGCCGTTCTTCCTCTGCTACGGACGCCACCCACTCACTCCACAAAAACCGACAGCATCAGCTACAGTCCAACCAGCACATGATTTCATCACAACCATGCATCAGCTTTGGGATCGAACCCACAAGCGCCTAGTCGACATTCAACAGCAACAGAAGCGCCAGGCCGATCGCCGTCGCAACGACCACACCATCACGGTGGGAGACTAGGTGCTTCTTGACACCCGCAACCTGGACATCAGCCACCTCCCATCTAAACTTCGACCTCGCTTCTGTGGGCCTTTTCTCGTTGAAGCACATGTTACTCCTGTTACCTTCCGCTTACGCCTGCCAGCAACCTGGAAGATTCACAACGCCTTCCACGTCCAATTTCTGAAGCCTTATCGGGACCCGAACACGATTTTCGTCGGACGCCAACCGCCGCCGCCACCGCCCGTCCTCGTCCAGAATGAACCCGAGTATGAGATCGAGTCCGTGCTTGCACACCGCCGTCGTCGGAATGGCACCGTGGAGCTTCTCATCCGTTGGAAGGGTTATGATCCTTCTGAGGACAGCTGGGTACCTGATTCCGACATGGGTAACGCCCGTCGCCCTCTGCATGACTACCTTGTCAAGCAGGGTGTTACTTCTACCACCCAGCTTTGAGGGGGGGAAGTGTGAGAGTACGACCCCGTTACACCACTTGGCCTTTTTTCTACTTCCTTCCTATTTTCATTTCCCTTTTTATCTCATCTCATTTGGTTTCCTATTCTCCATTTTCCATTAACCTATGGTTTATCCTGCTATTATAGTTATATCACCGACCAGGCTTGGGATGTACTGGGCGCTATATCTAGCGTAATCCTGCCGTAATCCCTTAAAGCCAATTGCCTCGCGTGGCTATACGCAGGGTGATTCTATCTTCTAGAAGGGTCTATTCCCTTAGGATAAGATAAACCTGCTTACCTGATGTACTCTGGAAGTATAAAAGCGCCTTGTACTGATCGATAGTGCAATCGGTCCTCGACACATTCGATCCTGTGACAAGCCTCATGTATGCGGCCGTTCACACAAGGCCGGATGCAGCCTTTGCTACCGGGCAGCTGGCTAGGGTTGTCCAATGCCCTAATGAAGAGCAGGTAGCAGCTGGAGAGAGGGTGGCCAAGTACCTTGGCCAAACAGCAACTGCTGGACTGCAATACTCCGCGGCGGCACAAAGGCGTCAAAAGGGTGCGGATGGAGTCGAATCCGGGAGGCTCTTTCTCACCGCCTTCTCTGATGCATCGTGGGCATCACAGCAGACATGCAATAACCAGAGGACAGTAGATGAAGCCTCCACCAACACAGCAGATGAAGCCTCCCACACAGGGTGCTATTGCATTGGCTAAGAACCCCGTACTTCATGGCCTTACCAAGCACATGAAGGTGAAGTGGCATTGGGTGAGGAGCATGGTAACCTCGGGTGAAGTGGAGTTGCACTACGTGAAGATGACGGCACAACCTGCTGATATGATGACCAAGAGGCTGGTTGAGCAGCAGCATTGGAAGTGTTGCAAGCTTGCTGGGATGGCTCTGAACTAAGGGGAGCAGATTCTAAGGCCAACAATCCGAGGGGGAGTTTGTTGGTGCAACCCTATGGCTTGCACTCGGCTTGTCGTCCTTGTTTGTGTGTGTGCATGCATGGCATGCAATGAATTGTGAGTCTATGTCATTGCTATCCAGTGCTTGTGTGTGTGTTTGAATGGTGTATCACAATGTGGTTTGTGTCGGTCAAGACATTAGCGAGTTTTTACAACTCGCATGTCAAGTCCTCGTTTGTGTGTCGCATGTGTTTTTTCTATTTTGTCGAGTGTGAAGTGTCCATCGCGTCGCAAGTGTGTGCAGCAAGCCCCCATCAACTCAAGAAGAATTTATCTTGCAGAACCAAGACCAAGAGCTCAAGATTTCAAGCCCAAGGGACACAGATAAATATTAAATAGTGAAAATAGTAACGCTACTTCGTGTAGTGTTACATTTCACTTGGTGTAGCCCCTTGGAGGGTTTGTTTCGAGACTCTTCATGGTTGGGGACTCTGTGGTGGTGTACCACCAACCCGGACCTCAGCTCTTGGGGAATGTAGAGGCTGGGAACCATCTCCATCTCGAACTCTTCTTGCTAAGTTTGTACTCCTAAGACTATAGTGGTTACTGTACCTCCTGCCAGTCAAACCGCAATAGCGTTGTCAAATCTTCATGTAATTTTATGATTCAACTTGCTGCCGATAGGTGACAGCTACGCACTCCAGATCCAATTTACAGATCACCGTTTGAGGCAAACATCAGATCGGCATCAACATTTGAAGCTGTCTAACGGAATTCTGACTGTGCACAATTTCTCTCATTTTAGGCACATCTGAGCCTATTGTGATTATAACAGCACCTTCAGCAGCACCTCTACCTGCAGAACTGTCCCCAGCATCCCTCCCAACTACACAGAACCGCACAGTATCCCCGCAACTTCCCTTGCAGTTGCCGGGACTCCTTTTACCTCTGGAAATTGGGCTATCAGGTATTGGGGGCGAGCCAATTGCAAGGTTAAACTGGGCTGCATATGTACTTCTAAACGAGTTCCTTGAAAGGAGGATGCAATGGGAGTACACGGAGGACCCCCCAATCCTGCTTGCTCCCCCTTTCTGTCCCCGTTATAAGCATTTCTACCAGACGCTGTTCTTTGCACAGTGCGCAGCGGAGGAGGATGTGCATTTTGAGAAGCGGGACGTGCTGAGGGTGGTGGCGCTGCTGCTGGGGTGCGCCGTGACTGCCAAGGCGAAGAAGCTGGACCTGGTGAAGGCTATCGGTGGCAGTCCGCTCTGTCAGGCACATAAAAGGAGAGAGAGGGGAAGAGGGGGTTCAGAGAAAGGTGGAGGAGGGGTGGGATGAGGAGGAAGAAATGAGCACCAGCACGAGCACCAGCAGCAATATCACCACCAATTACAGCAGCAGCGACAACTGCAGCCGCAACAGCAATGGCAGCGCCAGCAGCAACAGCAGAACCATCAACAGCAATAGCAGGAGCAGCGGCAACAGGAGCACCACCACCTGCAGCAGCAGCAGTTGGAGGAGGGGCAGAGCCGAAAAGGGATCCAGACCTGTGGTATGTACAATGAGAGCTTGCTGCAGGCGTTGGCAGGGCAGAGTCCGGAAGGGGGAGATGAGAGGGAGGAGAGAGGAGAGCAAGGCATGAATGGGCGTGAGGTGGAGGGGTATTTTGAGTCGACTCAAAATACACATGAGAGGGAGGAGAGAGGAGAGGAAGGCATGAATGGGCGTGAGGTGGAGGGGTATTTTGAGTCGACTCAAAATACATATGAGAGGGAGGAGAGAGGAGAGGAAGGCATGAATGGACGTGAGGTGGAAGGGGAAGCGCGACACGTCGAAGAAGGGTTGCGAAGTGAGGGAGAGTAGGCGGGAACAGCGGGGGAAGAAGAGGATGAGAAAGAAATCCGGGAAGAGAGGGAAGAGAAATATAAGGACTTCGTAGAGAAAGAAGGAACCGTGGACTTTCCTGGCGGGGGAAGCTTAGCTGACGTAGAAAGTTCAGCAGTTTCCAGGGGAGGATTTGCACTGAAAATGAGTTGTTTGAACAAGAAACAAACAAGCATTTATAAGCAGGCAGAAAGCTTGCGCGTTTCGCGTAACGCTGCTGGTGCACTGTGCAACCCCGGAATTCTGCCAACCGGGGAATTCTGGCAACCACAGAAACGGATTTCGGTAACTGACACCAATTTCGAAACCGACCCCGAGATCGGTTCTGCGGAATTCATCTGAGCGCGCTCCGGGTCTGTGTTGGAGAATTTTCCTGCAGCTTGTTTCTCCCGTTGGTCTTGGCTGCAGTTTCCTGCAAGGCAACAGAAAGAGCATTTCCGATCTACCGTTTCCCCGCACGCATGCATCACCTAGAGCAACCTCAAGCACCCCATTTTCTTAGGTTTTCTTCTACCGATTTCTTCCATTTCTTCCTAGCTGATTTTCCTAGCTCCACCGCTGTTCCGCCACTTCCGCCGCTGCAGTTAGGATTCCCGTTTTTCTTCCCGTCGTCATTCTTTCCCTTGTCATCCG